GTGAAAACCAAAGCCCTACACATTTGAGGAGTTTGCGTGTGTTGGGTGGCAGGAATTGAATTAGAGGTACTTGTTCTTTTTTGACAAGCCTCATAGTAATTTACCAGGATATGATGCGTACACTAAAGACGTCAAAATACAGGCCGAGCTTTGTAGATAACAGGAAATGAAAGACAAAGCTTATTCCTTCATTTAATTGAAAATAAACTTGTTCCTTAGTCACATCAGTGAATTCAAGGTGGGCTGCTGAAAGACACAGTGACAGGAGAAAACTGAAACATTACAGAGAGAAGGAGAAACAACATATAAAATATTCAAGTGAGACATCTGGAGACACGTTCAGTCTCAAACATTTGTTATTTCACAGAATACGTGATCGGCTGTGAGTGACAGGCAGTGGGTTTTACACGCCATGTGACTCTGTTATCGTAGCAAGGTCATTGTAGGAACGAGCCTCACCAAGAAATGTGTTCGGCAAGTGTAGTGAGGCCTGAGCAGAGAGGTTGGGGCACTATGTTTCATTGCTCAGCCAAAAAAACCGCAAGTTTAAAACATATTAAACACTCGATCATTCCTGATGATCCTGAAACCTCAGTTATAACCTGCTTCCTCCTAGCTCATAGTATGTTTGGGGGGTTTTTAAATTAAAACCAATCATATTGTCACCGAGCTTGATGCAATGGCCATTTATCCCGACTCTGACTTTGTCGTGTAACTGAAGCAGATTGTGATCAGTGCCTTTGTTCTTGTACAATACCTCAATTAGGAGTTGAGAGCAGGTGATTTGACCTTGATCAAATCAGCACCGCTGTGCATGTAATACGAAATCTGACTCTGCTCTTCTCAGAGAGAAAGCCCAGTGTAGATAACCTCTTGAAGAGACTTTTAAAACTAGAAATATTTGTCCCTACTGGTAACAATGTGAGGTTTTTGTCATCTTCTTTTATTTTTTCTGTATTTTATTCTACTGGAAAACCTTGGGTCTTGACATTGATATGCATATTTGCCAACTTACCAAGAAGCAGGATATTGCACCCTGACACATTGCAATTACAAGTCAACCCACATGACCTGATGGATTCTCTCCCAGTGCTCCAGTGCTAGAAACTACAAGACAATCTAATGTATCTGGGCTGCTTTGATGACATAAATGGGATTGCTCCACTATACAGTGCAGGTGGTTTGTTGTTGTGGCTGATATGTGAATAGAATAGATGGATGACGAGTATTGCTTTAGTGTCCAAACTACACTGCATACTGTACCAAAGCAATCAGTCAGCCTTTAAAGAATCTGCTTATTTGCACTCTTTTGCATACCATCAGTTCTCCTAGCAACATTGCTATCAGTGCAGAATATTTAAGAAACTTTTTCAGACTTTTCTTCCTCTTCTAGCAACTGATGTCAGCTTTTGTCAAATAACATCTTTGCCCTGTAGCCTGCAGCGACCACTACCAGATTGTGGTCTGCCCATTGAAAATCACTGACCTATTCAGTGCATAGCTCACTGATGCAGCACAGTCAGAAGTGACACTTTCTTCTGTGTCACTTCTGACTGTGCTCCCTGTGTGCTGCAGCACTTTGGATTCCAAATGAAATACTGAGTTAAATTTAAACTTTATAGCCATAGCCAGTGAACGTCATAGATGATACTTTACAAAATCCATGTTGGGAGGAGGTGAGGGTTGATGGGAAGGTCAACAACTTTGGACAGCGATGCATTCACTGATTCAAGGTGTTTCTTTTAACCATGATAATTACATAACCTAAACAGTGTGTTTATTATAAAATCAAGTGCAGCTCTTCAAGGGAACAGAGCAAACCACAACATCCACTAAAGCAGTTTCTGTCACTGTTGATGTGTAACTCACAAGTATTCATTGCATTACCAAATTTCAAGTACAAACTATGTCCTAACGATGTACAAACTACTTTTCTTGCACCATATGGACTTTCTTTCTGTCTATGTCTATGTAGGACTTTATTGCTTGTACTGGACAAGATGACTAATGTCATGAAAATTCAACTGACTGGCCCCCAGTTACCATGTCTGTGTTGTTGCTGTGCTGTCCTAAAATACATCATTCTTAAACCATACAATCAATATCTGTATAAATACTTACCCTGCAGAGAAACTCAAACTAGGTGGCATAATACTGTTTGAGACTGACATGTTTCTAAGATCCAAACCAAGATGAAAAAACACAGTTAGGTATCATATTTTTTTGTAACCTTGTGAAGAAAATGAGCTTTTTGTTATTCAAATGCATTTTTAAATTTAAATAGACAATAACTACGGGAATTGGGAGCATTTCTAGCCAAAGATAGAATAAAAAAGACTTCACATGACTCACAGTGTAACCGGAAGTATTTTTTGTTGCGTGGAAAGACATTTTGGAATACGTCCTTTGTCATCAATTATGGAGCAATATGTTGGTAAGCAATGCTGGATTACTGTTATTAAGAAAGCAGACAGCACTCTTGCCTGTTATTTGTGTACTCTAGATTTTTCATAGAGGGCATTATCTTTTCAAATCCTTTTCCATTACGAAGATAAGCATGTTTACTGATGCAAAACAAAAAAGGCTATTCCATGAGGTCCAGTATTAATGATACAGAATACTGAGTTCTAAACTATATATGTGAGTATTAAGCATAAATGGATTTCAAATCTTTCTGTGATGCTAATTCACACTTTCTTTCCAGTGTTTTTTCCAAGGGCCTTTAATTTGAAAATTAACTGTCTGTTTTAATCAGTGTGGCTGTGTGTGTGTATAAACAAATGATTTGAGTGCTTGGGTGGCTCTGCGTGGACTTTGTTTTTTATGGCTTTTTATGGAAACAATACAAATCTGGACAAATGATTATACTCTGACTAACCAAAGCCAGGTCTTAAACTATATCTGTCTACAGTAAATAAATATATGACATTCTTTTAAAAATTCCCCTGTGGATCCAAAAACAATGTGCATAATTATGAAGCAGTTACCTAGTTTTGACAACACACAGTCGTTGAACATATGCCCCCTCGTGTACTTGCACAGTGCTGCTCTTTCTTTGGAGGAGTCTGCTTCTCTCAGCCACCAGTCACTTCTAATATTGGGTTGTTTAAGTGAGATGTCAGAGAGGGAATCTTTTGGTGTAACTTTGACCAGATCTTTGACCTGAGAGGCGGGCAGAGGGCAACCCTCCCAGCAGCTGTCACGTCTTATTACCTACAGTGCATCAGGCTACAGTGTTGAGCTCTCCTTGTGTTTATACACCAGTAAATATGTGTGTGGTTTAAAGTCCTGGGCAAGGTGTGTACTTTCACAACAGGGCTGGAGCAGTGCAAACATGACCGTTGTTCAAATACCAAATCAATTTTTTTTAATACCGTTTTTCTTGTTACAGCATGTTAACTATTAACCTTAAGCACGGTGGGATTGGTGGCATTTCAGCATACTGAAGTCAACGATGCTATAACAAAAATCATCATAGATGTCACTTCACAGTGTAACTGTGTCAGGCAGATAGATCCACTGCAGATGGCAACATCCCGACAAGAGCTGCAGTTTAGCCATCTACAATTTGGCTAAACATTACAATTTTTCCCTAGTCAAACTCACTCGAATCCTTACACATGCCCATTTTTCCTGGTTCTAACACATCAACTCTGAGGACTAAATGTTTACGTGATCCCTAAAATATCCCACCCACTAAAAGCAGCCAAGAGATAATTAGTTATTCAGTTCCCGTCAGTGGTCATAATGGTATGCCTGATTGGTGCAATGTATTATGGAACGATCTGGAGGCCTAACAAATTGAACACAATATTTTTCATGATATTTCTTCATCCAAGCCATCCTGTTAAAAAGGTTCACACACCTTTGTTAATATGATTTCTATAGAAGCTTAAAATATGACAAAATTGCTGTATCTCGGTTTTAGTACATACATGAACAATGGATTGCCCTGCCCTGTCACTGGCACTCTTATATGGAGCAAAACTGTTTGCACTTTGCGCTTCCCCTTAATCACAGGCTTAATCTGCAACACTATCAGGCTGAACAAGACAAAGCCCAGCAGATTTCAGAAAGTGTGGATATTGACTTATTTTGATCATATTACCCTACACCAACAAGTCATGCATGGAGCTGCACTGATACATTGACATGCAAGAAACAAAATCCAAGTTTACAGTCAAGCAAGAGCTGCAAGATGAAGCACTGTATATTTGCCACTTACTTCTATTGCAAGCCACTTTTCTGACACATGCACTACACAGGCAACTTAGTTTTGGATCCCCAGCATTTTCACTCAGTTTACTTGCACATGTAGGTGACGCAGCGGTTGCTAAGGAAGTAGAGCTGCTGCTCAGTCCCCGGCTCCCCCACACGCAGGGCCTCAGGTTCTTTTCTAAAGATATGTTTCTCTTTTTTCAAGAAATATTGCCAACTGTAATTATCGTCATGTACTGGTAAATCATTTGAGTTGTCACATAGTGTGTACCTCCTCGAGTCAACTGTATATCACTGCTGGACTTGGGAAGATATTTAGGTTGTTAATTTTTACAGTGCAGTGCTCACACCATAAATAATGGATCAGAGAGATGTACTCTCCCAGGAAGGTGCAAAGACCTAACACCTCTGGGGTGAGCCTCTGTATGCATGCTGCACACCAGAGACAAAGTGTGAATGAGCAAGGAGAAGAAATAGAAAGGGGGAAAAAAAAGTGCGCTACTGGAAACAACTCTGCAGCCAAATGGTGTGATTTCTAAGAGACTTTGATCCCTGCTGCGGCAGACAAGCTGGAGATGTGTTTGGCTGTCTAATGTGGGCATCCGCTGACCCAGCTCTGCTGTCGCGGCAGTGGTTTTGTTCTGATTGGCTGAACCGCTGCAGATCAAAGAACAGGCAGAACATCAAATGACACAAAATGAGCTGAAGTTTCAGGTTTGCGCTTGTTGCCAGTAAAATGTTTTGACTGACAGTGATGTTGCTGCGTGTGTTCGTGTCCTCAGATATTGACGAGTGTTCAGAGGGCCTGATTGAGTGCCACAACCACTCCCGCTGTGTCAACCTGCCTGGCTGGTACCACTGTGAATGCAGAAGTGGTTTCCATGACAATGGATCCTACCTGCTCGACGGGAGCTCCTGCATCGGTGAGCATACACTGAATTGAAACTTATCACTACTGGAAACCTCACCTCCTCAGCTTCTGTGTGCCCGCCACCTAGCAGCTGTAGACTCGTCTCTTTTTCTCTGTCTAATTATACTGTTACTGTCTAGCTTCCATCTCTAAACCTAAGCACAGAATGCGATGTTGTGTATTGGTTTAGCATATTTGTGTTTGATTTAACATGCCCTCTGTGGGACAACCAGTCTAATTAAAGGTCTTGTCACCTTTAGAGCTCGAGATCCGACCGCTTGGTGTAAGCTATTCATGGGAACACATGTCGGCCTTGTGCCATTGTTATAGTTTTTGTGTTGGGGGAATTTCGCCAGCCAATAACAAGGAACAGTATTGGCATTTTTTGTGCTATTTGCTTTTCCCATGGCTGAACAAAAACAAAAGTTTATTTTTCCTAAATTTTGAGTGGTCAGGTGTGACTCACACTTTGGTTACATAGGTTACTGTGAGGCTATTTCATGTAGAAGGTTGCTTTGAGCTAGTGTTTAGCAGATTTACACTACATTGCCAAAAGTATTTGCTCATCTGCCTTCATATGTATATGACTTGACTGACATTCCATTCTTAATCCATAGGGTTTAGGAGGTTTAGGAGTGTCTTTATGGGAATTTTTGACCGTTCTTCCAGAAGCAGATTTATGAGGTCAGTCACTGATGTTGGACGAGAAGGCCTGGCTCACAGTCTCTGCTTTAATTTATCCCAAAGGTTTTCTGTTGGGTTGAGGACAGGACTCTGTGCAGGCCAGTCAAGTTCTTCCACACCAAACTTGGTCATCTGTGTCTTTATGGAGCTTCCTTTGTGCACATGTTAGAACAGGACAGGGCCATCCCCAAACTGTCCTGTTTGGGGATGTTGTCAAAAATATCTTGGTATGCTGAAGCATTAAGAGTTCTTTTCACTGGGAGGGGCTGAGAACAACTACTTAAAAAAGAAACCTACCACAATCCCCCCCCCCCCCCCCCCCCCCCCCCCATCACCAAACTTTAGATTTTACACAGTGCAGTCAGATAAGTACCTCATCTATCAGATGAGGCATCCTATCACAATACCACACTGGAATTGTGAGGGACCAATTCTTTCACACATGTTTTTAGAAGCAGTCTGCATGCCTAGTTGCTTAATTTTATACACCTGTGCCCATGGAAGGGACTGGAACACATAAATTCAATGATTTGGATGGCTGACTGAAGACTTTTGGCAATATAATGTAGCTAATGTTTAATTTGATTAAGATCACATTTGTTAATAGCAACAGAACTTGAGTAAACAGTAGCTGCTCGCTGATTCCCGATCCTGTGACATCAGTGCCTCATTTTATGTTTATTTCCCACATTCTTCCTTTACAAGAACAGAAGCTCAGATAAAAAATTCTCAAGAAATTCAAGCCATTGCTTTGCTTTTTTTTTTTTGCCCATGCACCATTGCAGAGTGTAATAGGTGTAGCGAACAGGATCGTTTGGCTGAGTGAAATGCTTTTGCCTTGATTTAACCTTTAAATCATATTGCAACATCAGCAGTCTGGTTTGATTTATTTACTTGAAGAAGAGAGGCACGATTTCAGTAGATTCCCTTCCAAGAGAGTGAGTTTCACTTCAACTCAGTTCTGAAGGAAAGCGATAAGAGAGATGTACCAGAAATGTCAGACTTTAACCAAAAACAGCTTTGCATCACATTAACACACAGACTGAACACCCACCTCATATTGCCACACTACAAATGTTTTGCCATTATGATGTCATATTTGCTCATTCAATTAGTGATTAAATCGTTTCATGCACAGTGACTTACAGGTCAGCACAACCACCTACTACAAATATCATTTATGTTGGTCTCCAAAATACAAATAGAAACTTGAAATATCTCAAATCCTGCTCTCTGGCAGGTAGCTCCATGCCCTCCTGGGTTTTAAATGCACCTTAGAACACACATGCATCAACACTACAGTGAGCGGGTGGAGGGAGGTTTGGAGTCTTCTCTCACCCCCATTCTCTGCGACCTGCTGGAGCGGGGGGGCTAGGAGGAGGAGTTGGCCGTCCGACTGCGGTCTGGAGTGTGGGGCCTCCCTGCTGCTGCGGAGTCGGGGCGGTCTGCCTCCCCCCACCGCAGGGAAAAGGGTAACACCACCTGGGTCTGGGTGCAGTTCCCCCCCCCTCCAGGGGCAAGGGTACCTAGACCCGGGGCTTAGAGTACGCTTGGGGAGTGTGATCGTGTGTACAGCGTCTCTTTATGTCTGTCTCCACGTTGGTTGAGTGTGGAGTAAGTGTATATGAGAGCATGAGGGTGGGAATGGATGTTTGTATATGTGTGTGCCTGTATTTCTGTGTCTATATGTCAGGTTGGGTGTCAGGCGCCACCTCTCTGGGGACATCTTAGGCCCTCCAAGGTATGGAGGCCTATCTCCCCCTACCACCACTTCCCCTGCCAGTGGCGGACTCCCTCAGACGTCGGTGCGTTGGTGGTTCTTTGTGTCCGGGGATGGGCGTCCGGGTACACACCGGCTCACTCCTTGGCGGCCGCTTATCGGGGCCTGGAGCCTGGGGCTTGCTCGGGCCACTTCGGAGGTGGGGTGCCCCCGGCCTCTCGGCCTGGGGCTCGGTCACTCAGGCACGGCTGGCTGCCGGCGGAGCTCACGGGCGCGTCACTGCAACTCCCCCTGGCTTCTGCTCCGCGGCTGCTGAGTGAGCCCTCATCTGGGACTCTCCTCAGCTCTTTCTGGGACAGTGGCGCGGCTGCCCCTCTGTTGGTCTTCCTTGGTCTCTTGTGTTCTGGGGGCCTCTGGATGTCTGGAGTTTTGATCTCCTCCATACCTGCTTCATGCCCTGGAGGACGGGGCTGTGGCCCCCCCACACCCTCTAGCAGATCATTACATGAAGGAACCTTTTAAAAAACAAAAAACAAGCGTGTCCATGCTCACAGGTGTACACACGGGTGATCACACCCACAAACTACACCCTTTTTGGCTCCTACCTCAAAGCACACTGTGTTCTGTTGATCTTATGTGCTGCACAATAATGTTTAATATTTAGTATTTACTGTCATATTCCCATATATCATTGTGATGTTGTTTATTCTATTACTCTTGTTCTCTTCTGCTTGTTTTCTTTTTTTCTTTCTCAGCAGGTGACCCAGGTGATTGATATATGCATTTTTTTTCTTTTCTTCTTCTTTTTTTTCTTTTTCTGCTCATTCTGTTGGTTTTTGGTTTTTGCCCTTCTCCCCCGTCCCTCTTCTCAGCTGTTTCTCTTTCCCTCTTTCTTTCTCCCCTTCTTTCCCCCAGTCAAGTCTGTCCCATGTTCAGTAAGTGAAAAAAAAAAAAAAAAAAAAAAAAAAATATCTCAAATCCAGTTTTTCAGGTTTTTGCAGTTTTGTATACTTTTGCCAGGTATTTAGACAGTGGAGTGAAAGTGTTATTTCCCTCAGTGGTAATATTAAAGGAAAAAATGACTACAGCTATCTGCTTGGTATCAAAAATACAGCCCATATAATCTTGCAGCTCTGAAATGATGGTGGCTTGGTTCTACGTGGATATTGGCAGCTGCAGAGAGCTTACATCAGCTGCTGTGGTCGTGATGGTTGTTGTGAATAAAGCATCAGGAACTGCAGTAGAAAATCCTTCTTGCAATATAATCCACTTCTCCACTCTGGTTCTTAATTTCAACACATTCCACAAAGCTCCTTCCCTAAGTGCACTGCTTTTTTTGGTGTCATAATTTTTCTTGTACTTCTTGTACTTTCTTGTAAGTAGGACTTATTTGATCAAGTGTCTAGTGGCACAACAAGAAAACACTGTGTAATGAGATGTCTTTATGATAATAAGATGCATAAATATGGTTGATTACCTTCATCTAATGGTCTTTAGTTACTCTGATGTGCACATTCAGTCATGAGTCTTCAAGCAAGTCTAACTGGATGTTAACTTTCTTGTGTTCTGAGGCTTTATGACTGGGAATTTGGTGTATGCAGTGGTGTGATTAGTGAAAGCACTTGTGTTGCTCTCTAGGCTTCATAAATGTGGATGGTACATGTCGGATGCATTTGAGTGCATGTTGGAGAGATAGTATATCCGCCACCTTTTCTCCGCCCAATTTACAGTATTAGGCTGGAAGCCGGCAGGGGAAATAAGTACAAATGACATTTTAACAGGATTTTCCCCCTTCCACAATATCCCTCCAACAGCCCTTCATGAGTCAACCGAACATAAAGTAGCATTTTGTAATAAGAAAGTTAGCTCGAAGCAGGGAGCAGCAGTACTAGTCAGTTAACCACGTCGTTGGCTCTGTGTTTGCCAAGAGCATGTCACCACCGCACAGGGTGTTTCACCCTGTGCAAGTTACTCCTCGTCATTATTTTTTTACAGAATATCCCACAGATTAACAATAAAGGTTTGTGGGAGCAACAGTGTGGAGATGGAAAACTTCAAAGACTTTTGATGAACCAGCACCCTCCTTAAATGAAAATCTATGAGATATGATTGCTCTCATATTTTCGTACACAGAACTGCTTTTATGTGGATAGCTTCTCATTCACTTGTTTTTTGTTTTTCTTTTCACTAGCCACTGAGATCTATGCATAAAATGCCAAATCCTGTCCTTTTACTGATATTGGGTTAAGGAGGTGGGAGTAGGACTCAGAAAAATGGAACTCTTGGAAAACACTTCAGAGCTCAATGGGGGGAACAAACACTCATGATATCTAAACTGACATGGATTGAGTAATGTGATAGGAACAAAAGGATGCTACATTGTTTGATGGAAATGGAAATGATCAACAGAGGGTGGAAATCAAAGACACCCCAAAAATCAAAATGAAAAAATGGTGCAACCCTTTCATGTCTGTCACATGTGCTCAGGGTGAACCTGCTCTCATCTGTGAGAAACACAGGTCGCCAGCGGTGGACCTGTGCTAATTCTGATATTCTACGGTTATGTGGTGGCAAAAATAACTCAAGTGGTAATCAGTCGGAAATATTCT